AACTTTCAATCGTTAGTCCAGGATAAAATCTTTTCCACAAATTCCACAAGAAAACGATCACTCACCCGAGTGGGTTCTTTTATGGACATCAAGAATACTTTTTCGAGAAAAACCTCTCCCACATATAGTGCACATATAAGGTTTCTCATCCGAGTGAGTTCTTTGATGGCCATCAAGATGACCTTTTTGAGAAAAACCTTTCCCACATATAGTGCACATATAAGGTTTCTCACCTGAGTGGGTTCTTTTATGGCGAATGAGAGGATATTTTGCAGAAAAACTTTTCCCACATATAGTGCATATATAAGGTTTCTCCCCTTAGTGGGTTCTTTTATGGACATTAAGAGAACGTTTTACATAAAAACCTTTTCCACATATAGTGCACATATAAGGTTTCTCCCCTGAGTGGGTTATTAAATGGTGATTAACAGAACGTTTTTCAGAAAAACCTTTTCCACATATAGTGCACACAAAAGGTTTTTTCCCAGAGTGGGTTACTTTGTGGATATCATGACAATCTTTTCGAGAAAAACCTTTCCCACAAATAGTGCACACAAAAGGTTTCTCACCTGAGTGGGTTCTTTTATGGCCATCAAGACTACCTTTTTGAGAAAAACCTTTCCCACATATAGTGCACATATAAGGTTTCTCACCTGAGTGGGTTCTTTTATGGCGAATGAGAGGATATTTTACAGAAAAACTTTTCCCACATATAGTGCATATATAAGGTTTCTCACCTGAGTGGGTTCTTTTATGGACAGTAAGGTTTCTTTGTTTAGAAAAACCTTTCCCACATGTTGGACATAAAAAAGGTTTTTTCCCAGTATGAGTTTGCATGTGTTTCACAAGATATGATCTTATAGGAAAACATTTCCCACATACTTTGCAAGAAAAAGGTCGCTCACCGGTGTGTATTCTCATGTGTGCCACAAAATAAGAATTTGTAACACTTTTCCCACATGTTGTGCAGGTTTGTCTTTTAGATTTTTTGGGGATGGTGCCAGTTGTCTTCTCATCACACTTATCCCTCAAAGACTGTTTACCACCAGATTTCACAGACTGTTTATCTGGCTTAACATTAGACTTGTATTCTGAAAGGACAGAACTATCATCGTTGCTGTGACCCATGTCTCCATTAGATCCATTCTTTGGCTTCATTTCTGTAACTTTGCTGGATCCTATGATTGTGGGATCCATCCCTTCCTGTATTTGCCTCTCAATTAAGGGGGAGGTCTGAGAGTTTGGCTGGTCAGGTTCTGTGTCTACTTTGCCAAAGTCCCATTCTTGGTGAGTAGGGCTCAACGTGAAAGCATTAGTCTCTGTCTCCACTTTAATCTGCGCTCTTTCTTGAATGGTGCCGAGTTCCTTATGTTCCTCTTTAATCTGAGGGGTTTCTGGTACCTCCTGGTTCAGACTGGAATCTGTCTCTTCATTACAGAGTTTCTGGTAAACAAATACTTCCTTCTTCTTACAGACCTGTTGCTCCAGAATGACTGCAGAGAGAGAAGAACACAAGCAGTTATTTTTGATTATCTTATAGGAATCCAATGGAGGATCCCCACTGGTGAGAAGTTGATAACGAGTAAAGTATGTGGGATTTCAGGACTTAAATTTTCCCCACATATTCTACAAGATAAGGGTTTGTCACTAGTCTGGATAAAAAAAGGGATTACGAGCCTACTTTCCAAATGAAACTCTTTCCACATGTTTTACATTAAAAAAGCTTCTCAGTAGATTTTCATGTGTATAAAAAAAATCTTAGAGGTTTGTAGACGTACAAAGTAAACATTTCTCTCACCTTCGTGGCTCCTCGTGTGGATCAGTAAAGATCGATCATAAAGGAAGCTTTTCCCACACGTTTCGCACTTAAATGGCTTCCAACTTTCGTGGAGGTTTTTTTCCTCCGTATCAGCCCTCAGAGGCTTTCTACAAACAGATTTTACAGACTGTTCATCTGGCTCTACTGCAGAGAGATTTTCCTTTTCAAACTCAGGGGTCTCTCGTTGCTTCTGCTTCAGACTGGAGTCTCTCTCTTTACTACAGCACTTCTGGTCAGCAAATGCATCTTCCTCAACGGCCAGTTGCTGTGGAATGACTGCAGAGAAAGAAGAAGAAATACATCCAATCAGATTATCATAATGTAGGGTGAAGTCTTTTTGATAGCAAAATCTGGCTTTCTACTGTACTCTGAATAAAGTAAAACTGATCTGCTGATAACTTGAATATTAATCTTAATAACTTATGTCAGCTGTCAAAAATGATGAAAACGTATTAGACGTAAAATGGTGAATGTGATTATCAAAAGTGAGATTGCTGTCCCTAGTTATGTCATGGTCCGTTTACTCCATGTGTTTAAAACTAGTTTTATGCTTTAACAAGTTGTA